ATGGTAGGAGTTGAGTCACGAGTGACTGAGAGGCTAGCCCGAGGGGCGATAGATATATACATGCACATGAGTGATGTTTGCCTGAGGGGCCTGATTATGAACTTGTTCATTTTCACTTCTCTTTAGAGTGAGTTTCTATCGAATATGTTAAATTAATGACTGTTTTCACTCATCTTTATATTGAGCCTCTGTCGAAAATGTTAGATAAATATTTTTAAACAGCTTTCATTTAAGCTGGGGTTTATGAGATGTTCAGAGCTTAATCACTGATTTGGCTTTTGTTATTTCCACTGAGATTTTCTTGTTAGGAGGTGTTTATGACTCTTGTTTTGCCCGAGGGGCTGTTTATGAACTATGTTTGCCCGAGGGGTCGATTATGGTTTTCAGCTCTTTTATTAAAAATGGTATTGAACCCCTACTGAATCTGTCAGAAGGCATTTTAAATGATTTTTACCAAAAGCTAGATTTCAAAAGAGGCGATTGACTCGTATTCTGATTTAGCAGCCTGTGTGCTTATTGAGTTTAACATAAATGTGGATTCGTTGTTTCCTACTGCTCAGTCTTTATTTATTCTTATTACTTACTGTGTTGGAGTACTCACATTACTCCCTGCACGTCGTGTGCAGATTCAGGTATTTCGGAACCCGGTAGCGGGTGTTGGTTGCTCAAACGCGGAGTCATCAGAGTTAGCAAGGTGGCTGCATGACGTTCGCAGCACCGCTTCCTTTCTCTCATTTTCATCTCTGTACTTAGTACATTTTACTGTTTTTGTTGTATTTAGACCTTGGTAGATGCTCATGACTAGTGACACCCCGATGTCGGGCTTGTGTAATTATTCCGCATTTTTCTTTTAAATGTTCATTATGAGATTAACGGTCTATAAATGGTATAAAAACAACTTTTAATGGAAAATGGTTGACTTGGGGAATTGTGTCGGTTAGCCTTGTCTTCTCGAGAGGCGCCATCACGACCGGGTCCGGTTTGGGATCGTGATACATTTAAGTCTTTCCCTATTATTTAGTTGTTTTAAATCAACTAAAATTTTCCTTATTTAATGTATGTAAAATCTCCTAAAGTTTAGAATTTTGAATGCAAAAAAAGAATTTGCTATTTTTTCTCTCCTAACATTAAGAACACGATTTTTCTTCTTTTAAATTTTTTGTCTATTTATTTTTCGTTAGAGAGTGTTAATAATACGTAATCACGTTAGAACAATTTTATTAGTTAAAGATGTATACAATTAAAGTAATAAATATGCATTCCATGTTGGATATGGTGAAGTTATGGATAATATTTCAAATATTTAATATCAGTATATCACAGTTAATTTTTAAATTTTGAATGTGCTAATAGCTTGAACTCTGAGTTCAACTATGAATACACCACTTTTACTTTCCTAGTCAATTCTTTGATCTTTTCAATTAATAAATAAAGATGTTATTTCATTGAATGGTAATTTTATGAAATACGTTAAGAATGCATTATATATAGTTTAATAATATTTATATAATATTTCAAAGTTCTATAATTATTGATATGTTGCTATACACGCACCAAGATCATACAAAATATCGCTTACCTTTTTTACCCTTTAAAAAATGATTTCACACTAGATTTCTTAGTTCATCTAATATTAAGCATGTTATAAGTTATTAGTGGTTGTTTTACATGATTATTTATTATTATGTAGTGAAATGATATTTTTATCATTACTTTGATAAGTTTAAAGTTCTCAAAAATTATTTTGTTGGATTTATTTTTAAATGTAGATCGTTAATTATTTTTCTTCGCATTCTTAAATCCTTAATCCATTAACGGCTAATTATAGTTTTTATATATCAGATAATTTGTGGTATAATATTATTTCAACATTAGTAATTCTTAGCCTTTAGATGTTAATTATCCATTTTATTTCTTCACGAATTGTAGGACCAACCTTCGCTCGCAAATTCCAAAAGACCAAAGTTTTCGATTTTCATTCATGTTACTTTGAATATTTGTCATAAAACTATGTCACAAAAATATTTAACTAAATTTAATGTTGATATTCCCTTTTTACTTTAAAATGAATCTTTTTCTAAATAGCTGCCATCAACAACTTAAACTTTAAATAGCCGGCATATATATAATTTATATGTATAAAATTTATGTATAGTCGGTTGAAAAAAGTAAATAGTGAACCCTGACGGCTTGTTGTGTAAAGATCCCTTTAAAAATAAACTTTATATAAACAAAATTATTATTTAATTATTTTCTTAATATTTTAGGACTTTAAAATCAACTAAAATTTATTATTCAAAATATAGTGGCTGGATTTTATTTTATGCCATTGTAACTTATTCTTTTTAAATTTGTCAAATTTAATTCATATAATATTTCTTATTAATTAAAGAAAAAGAGAATGTCTTCTATTAGTTAGGTGAACATGTTTGTGTCTTTTAGAATGAACTTGAAAATTATCACACACCCACACGTACACAAAAAAGTTGAAAAAAGACTTTTTTTGAGAAAATAATTTTTTTTTAATTCTTTAAAGGTTATGTGTTTTTGCTGAAACTGAAAAGAAAATATGATAATTTGTGAATTTGAGGTGATGAAATCATAGAGTTGAAAATGAGTTTAAGCTGAATATACAGAAAGGTAATTACATTAAGGAATTCTATGAGACAGATTCTCTTATTTATTGAGTTATTTATATTCGATCAACATTTATCAATTTTAGGAGTTTAAATTTCTATTTTATAATTTAAATATACTATTTATGTATTTTTATAAAAAAAAATTATTCATCAAGTTGGGGTACACGGGCAAAATGCGTACTCTAAGACTAGTAACTCAAAATGAGTTCGCACCCAATATTTACAAAGTGGCGAAAAATAATAATATTTATTTAAATTGAAAGATAAGTACCACCTATATTCTAACAAAGGAGTGGTCCATGCGTGAGGCTTACATGTAATAATAAATCTTTATGCCCGAAAGTAATTATATTAATAGGATTCCTAAAGGTCTACTATGTCCTAAAACGAATAAAATTATAAGGCCGATATCTAGAATTTCGGTTATGTCCTTTTATTATGATTTATTATGCTTAATATTATAAGGTTATTTTTGTAAACCGACATTGTATTCATGCTTTTATAATAATATAGATAGATTATATTTTCTCTTTTGGGTTAATATCCTAAAACTCTCTTTAACTATTACAACTTTTTGTGAATTATCTACTTAAACTATAGGGTGTACCCAAAACCCTCTTAACTATATCCCCCCTTCAAATTAAAAAGTCCTCGGTTGAATTCTTAGAAGTGCGTCCGCTACACGCTCCTAATTAACTAAAAGCATGCCATGTGGCACTAAACGTGACTATTTGGCTCGGCCTAACCCCTCTCCCCCAAACTATTTGGTGTCCCCAAAATTTCCTTGAACTATTTCTCTATATATTAAAAAACTTCTTGTTGAATTCTTAGAGGCGTGTCTGTATAACTATATCAACTTATGATGTAGCTAGCTTACTTGTGGTATATTATTCTAGGATGTTTGATTAATTGTGGGCATTTTTGGCTTAAGTAGGATCTAATACATATGTGTTATTTTTAGCTTTTAATTGTGGTTGTGTTTAGGGTAGATTCCAGTTGAATGAGTCCTTATTTATATTAACTTTGCAGTAAAAAAATGAAGGCATATAATGTTAGATTCAACTGTATTCTCTATAAAGTGTTGGATTTAATAAGAAGATTTAAGTGAGTGTTATTTCAACAACATGGGTAAGAAATGAAAGAAGACTAAAATAAGAAAAAGAATAAAGAATTTTAGAGGTGAATTTTTTTCCAAAGGAAAGCCATATGGAGAAATGAATAGCAAAGGTAAAAAAATTAGGAAGAAAAATAAAAAAATAAAGAAAAAGGTGAAAAATAAAGAAGAAAGGTGAAAATGAAGCAAATAAGGAGAGTGTAAGCTAATTAGCCATTACACACTGTCAGGTAGATTATTTTGTTGGTTTTTTTCATCTTTCACGCGCTCTTTAACGAGTTACTACACACTAGGGGTGTGCATTCGATTTATCGATTCGATTTTGACCCTTATCGATAATTATTTATCGATTATCGATTTGTACATATGCTTATCATTATCGTTTCAATAAGGTTTCGATTTTTTCGATTTCGATTTATCGATTTTTGGGGCTTATCAATTCGGTTATCGATTACACCAATAAGAAAATTTACGGGATTCCACGGAAAGTATATCGCTATAAACACGCCTAACTAATATGGACCAAAAGAAGCTAAAATAAGACGAACACCGTTTATAACATAAAAATTGTGTCAACAAGCACATGCAACGAAACTAAAGTAAGGGATCAAATGTATGCCACCAACACTCTAACGGTATAAAAAAAATACATCATCACGGCTAATTCTATTTTTCATTAATTTGAACTTCATTCCTTTGAGCTTTAAGTATGATCATTCCTTAAATGTGGTAGATGAAATAATAGGGTTAGGGACTTAGAGTAAAGGAAAGGGTATTATAGAATAAGGGTAAAAAAAAAAAATTTTTTTTTTTAGTATTTCTTATCGGTTTATCGATAAACCGATAAACCGAAGAGGACAAAATCGAAATCGAAATCGATAACTCGGTAAGGAAAATTTCGAAATCGAAATCGATAAATCGACAAACCGATAACAAATAATCGATTCGATTTATCGATAAATCGATTTGAATGCACACCCCTACTACACACATTATGCCTGATAAGCAATAAGTAAGTCTTAATATGAAAGAAAAAATAGTTTAGGGAAATTCTGAGTACACCTCATAATTTAAGTAGGTAACTTACAAAAAGTTATAGTTAAAGGAAATTTTGGGGTATTAAACCTCATATTTTTTGGACTAAAAGTGTGCAATGTGCATGAATTTGCCTTGCTTCCTTGACTCAAACAGACGTCTTATTTGGTCCCACCCTCAGATTTTCCTAGTCCTTTTTCTCATGAAAAAAGAACTCAATTGCCGTGGTCCCATTTATTTAGCCCAAAAAGTACAAATTCCTATAATATTAAACCTCGGGCTTCTCCCCAAATCCGGTCGCCGTCTACGGTGGCCCTCAGCTCACCCCCACCGTTAATTAATGTAATGTCATTAAAATAGAAACCATCCAAATAACGTAAAACTATCGTCACTTTACTCCTATTGTGACATTAAACACCATTAGTATATTTTTGTTTTACTTTTTTTTCTCTCTTTCTTGCCGTTTGTCACCAACTCTATTTCTCTCTGTTTCTATATTGTTTTGCTGTCACTTCCACACAACAGCAGCAAAGTCCACCGAAAAACAAAACAAGTTTCAGCTTCTGAAAAAATTTCCATTGTCATGGGTTTGCTAATGAATGTGGTAGCAATAGCCCTAGCTGCTGGCCACAAAACAAAGAGACCCTTTGGTGTAGATGATCAAGACATTGAATTTGGGAACCCCTGGTGGTTTGTTTACGCCGGTGTTTCTTGTTTCCTCGTACTCTTCGCCGGAATTATGTCCGGTCTTACGTTGGGGTTAATGTCTATGGGACTTGTTGAGCTTGAAATTCTTCAACGAAGTGGTACTTCTACTGAGAAGAAACAAGCAGGTTTGGTTCTAATTTTTATCCCATTGATTTTGCCTGAATACTTGAATTTCTTAATGTGGGGTATTGATTATTTAAGATATTAATGTAGTGTTTGAGTTGAGTATTTGGTGCTTTTCAGCTACTATTTTTCCTGTTGTTCAAAAGCAGCATCAGCTTCTTGTGACTTTGCTTTTATGTAATGCGGCTGCAATGGAGGTGAGTGATTTCATAGCAAGAACATGCACGGGTTTCTCATAGAGTTTCTTTACTAAAGTTAGTCGTAGCTTGATTAAAATTTCTTTATAAAGTCACAATAACAACATACTAGTGAAATCCCATAAGTGGGGTCATAAGTGGGGTCTAGGGTGTACGCAGACCTTACACCTACTGTGAGAGGTAGAGAGAGGTTGTTCCTGATAGACCCTCGGCGCCTCAGGAAAAGCATTTTCAAAACAATGAGTAAAAAATTGTGGTAAAAATACTGTAGAAAGGAAAGGAAAAGTACTGCCAGCAAAAGTAGTAAAGATACCCAAATAAAAGAAACGACAATAATAATTTGAAGAATAAGACGGTAATAGGGTAATAATAATGATGTTGACAAGCACAAGGTGGAGCTAATAGGGTAAATGTTTCCACTGGGTGTACTCAGTGACGGATGTAGTGTATTGAATATGTGCTCAACCGAACCCAAAACTAGTTATTTTTCTTATGAAATGTATATATTATATGTGAAAAATACTAAAATTTCAACAAATGTTAAATGTTGAAGCCATAATTTTAAAAGTACAACGAGTTTCGTCTTAAGAACCTTAGGATTGAATCCATTTGTCTCTAAGCAGGGGCGGATCCAACAGTTCAGCTACCATAGCTTTTATCCTAGACATGGATTTTCAGTACAAAATTCACCGAAATTGCTGAAAAAATTGAGCTATGAACCCACAACTCAAACAATGTAATGCGTTTCGGTGGTTGAAACTGACATCTTGAAGCCATAGAATTAAAATACTGGATCCGCCTCTATCTCTAAGAATATTATAATAATATCACACAAATACATTGCATGTTTATTAGGGCTATTTTCCGCAATGTATAGTGTTGTATTTTTTATCAGTAACATTTATAAGTGATACAGTTTCTGTTATGACCATGGACTTTGCAGGCTCTTCCAATATACTTGGACAAAATTTTCCATCCAGTTGTTGCTGTTATTCTCTCTGTTACTTTTGTTTTAGCTTTTGGTGAGGTAAATTGACTTCCACCCACTGTATAACTGCAAGACAAGTGGTTTTGGACTGGGAACTCTAATGATATCTTTGCTATTTCCTTGATGATTTAGATTATTCCACAAGCTATATGCTCTCGGTATGGGCTGGCAGTAGGTGCAAACTTAGTGTGGCTTGTTCGTGTTCTTATGATCATTTGCTATCCCATTGCTTACCCAATTGGAAAGGTAAGTTTTAGTTTTCCTGCTGCCACTACTAGTACATGGTGGGTAGTCTACCCCTGTTTTCCTATTTGGATCTTGCTGCACCTTACTTTGGATCATTTTCAGTTGTGGCATATGTGATAACATCTGGGGTCATAGTGGTCAAAGTACCATAAAGGAAATGCAACTTTTTCGTTGTTGTTGGTATCAAAGAATTCTTTTGATCTTTATGTCAGCACAAATGATATGTCTAACTTTTTCAACTATGTGCCTTTATTAGTATTGCTTGTCAATTTCTATCCAAAAATAGAAAACTATATTGCATATTTGCATGTAGATTGCATCCCTCGTAGGCATTAATGTACTGGGTCAAAGTTCAAATTGTGGTCTAAGCTGTCATGGCAGAATCGAGATCTTATAATACTGTGGCGAGAAAAGATCAGAATTTTCTGCTACAGTTAATATACTATGTCTAATTCAAAGGGGTCATGCAGTCGATACCTTTTTTACAATTCAAACAATTTCCATGTGAAGTACTTACCGGAAGAAGAAGAGAAAAAGAAAATATAGAACTTGTCCATGAAATCATCACCTTTAGATGTTGAAATTGATATGGCTTAGGTTCTGGACGCTGTATTGGGACATCATGATGCTTTGTTCAGGCGAGCTCAGTTGAAAGCCCTTGTTTCTATCCACGGTCAGGAGGTAATCACTAATCTCTCTGAATTGGTGTTCATTTTCAGAAGCCTGAAGTTGATTTGGCTGATGTTCATTGCCAATGTTTCGCCTTCTCAAAACTATCATTATTATGTGACATTTTCCTGAATATGGTGACAATTTTCCATTATAAGTGAGTTAATATTGTTATGAAATAACACTATATTTTTATTTCAAGCTTAGGCTGGTAAAGGTGGCGAACTCACGCATGATGAAACTACTATTATTAGCGGAGCACTGGATTTGACAGAAAAGGTTGGCAAAAGGATATTCCCGTCAGTATTTCTTCATTTTACTTCTGTCCTTTGTCTTTTGATCTGGATAGTTTTTGATAAAGCATCTGCTTCGGGCAAAATAAGACTTCTTAGAGTGACACTGGCCTTATCTGCTTTCTTAGATAATTTGGCTTCAAATGGCTACTCCCGCTATTCCATGTTATATGATGGTGTTTGACTGGGCACATAGTTTAAGAAAGGAAGAAAGATTTTTGCACATATCCTTAGAACGTGTGGTCTTAAACATGACATTAAATTTTTATGGCAATAAGAGCATGCCATTAAGGGTATAATGGGAAATTTAAAGAGTTTCCAAGTATAAAAAGGTTTCATTTTTTTGGCACAAATTACAAAGAAAGAGTGTCATATAAAATAACAAAGGGAGTAATAAACAGATTGTCACAAGTTCATGCAAGTTCCCAATTCATGTCACCCTGATGATTTCTTTCTATCTTCTAGTAACTTCAGTCAGATATACTCTCACAACTTATAACAACAATGGTCTAAGTTTTCTCAATTATGTGCAGACTGCTGAAGAGGCTATGACGCCTATTGAATCAACCTTTTCCCTTGATGTCAATTCAAAGTTGGACTGGTGAGTTTATGACGGATTGAGTTCCATTTTCTCATGCTAACTATATTGAGGTGGGAAGAATTTTTTTCTTCAAAATGACTATTGTTTGAGCAAGTTTCGTTCGTGACATGTCGATGCCTCTCATTCTTCATGATTTTAAGTCCTTCTGAAATGGTACATTGACAAGGAACTCAAGCATGCTGTTTTATTTCCTTTGTTGCTAAATTCTGCATCTATTGTCCAATTGCTTGAAAACTTAGAGGGTCATAACAAAATCCATACATAGTAGCAGTTTTATTCTTCTAGAGAGAGAGAGCGACTGAAAGTTCTGCTTTTGCATGAACTCCAAAGCTATAACTGAAGTTTCAAGAGAGGATTATAAATATAACAGAGATCACTCAAGATGCTTAAGAAACTACAATCACTTTCTTTGAGGTACAAATTGAAGCTTGAACTACTGTTGCTATTTTTGGTCCTTGACCCCCCCTC